GGGGGAAGGGGAGGAAAACAAAAAAGCAGCAATTGACCACAAATTCCATAATCAGTAACGATTCATAGCAATACTATGATCTTTTTGCACCCATAAAAGAAAACCAGTGCGGGATTTACAGTCCTTTTCGGGATTAAGAGTCCTTTTCAGTTTTCTAACTTTTTCAACTTTTTTGAGCTATACATCAAATCTGCATAAAATTGTCAGGAAACAGTAGTGACAAACTCTTTGCAACAAACCAAGTCAAACTCTCTCTCTCTCTCTCTCTCTCTCTCTCTCTCTCTCTCTCTCTCTCTCTCTCTCTCTCTCTCTTTCTTTTTTCTTTTTTTTTCGATCTCTTTGCTTTCGCAATGACCTAAAAGGTTTAGAACTGGAGTTGATGAAACATTAAAATTAAAAACAAAAGAATAACCAATTGGTTATGAGGGTATCATTTCCTATCTTAGAGTTTTCTTTGCATTGAAGCTGATTAAACACAGCAGATAAAAAGTTCATAAAACAAAAAGTAAGAGCACTTTTTCTTTTCGACACCAGAAAAGAACTCTTCTGGGAATCGGTGTTTGTATGTAAGTTTGTACATAATTTTGTGTATTGCCAGATCAATGAATCTTCACATCATTGTCACTCACTCGTTCATAAAAATTATCACTCGCTCGTTCATAAAAAGTTTCTACCGTCTTCCCCCAAACTCTACACCCCCTGATCATGAATGTATACAGGCTGTCGTCCCGGTCTGATATAGTCATATGATGAGGGTGTGTCGTTCCCGGGAAGAAGGGAGGCGTATTGTTTTCACAAGATGAGTTTGTCTGAACTTGATCCAAGTGAAAACAAAATCCAATCTAATACAACCCATCCCCATCCCAATCTCAATACCCATCCCAATCCTAATCCCCATCTCCATACCCATCCCAGTCCCCATCCCGATCACCATCCCCCATCCGCATCCCCATCCAAACCCCAATTACCATCCCCCATCCCCCATCCCATCCCCATCCCGATCCCGATCCCGATCCCCACCCGATCCCCATCCGATCAAAACAAATCGAATCTAATCAAAATAGAAACAAAATCAAATCCAACTTTATCGGCACATTTTTCAAAATTTTCTTTGTTTTTTCAACAATTTCAATCCAAACCTAACTGGATGATTCTGTTCGGATGTGGCATCATCCAAACACAACGGGGGCGTTCCATGCCAGGGGGTATAAAAAAGAAACATTATTGATTTATTGCCTGGGTTACCGGAGTGGCCCGGGACCACTTGCCTGGCCGGCCCAAAGGCGGGGGGTTGGGGGGGGGGGGGTGGGGAGGAGGATTTGAAAATTCAATTTTATTTCTTCTTTTTCATTTGGCAAAGAATTTCGATGTGACCCTGGGGCAAAAGTTGCTTGCCACGTGGGTGGTAGGGCATTTGTGCTGGATTGTTGATGTTTCAGAATCGCGGTCATCTCTTCACAAGTGTTTGGGGTCCGTTCTATCATCCTTTCCTTATGGGACTGGCGAGTGTTGCTCCATAGGATCTTCATCATGGAGGGAGGTGAAGATCTAATTTGGGGAGTGTACATGGACGGGGGTGCGGATTACCCCAAATCACGAGGAGGTGGGTGGGCTTTGCGGGGCCTTTGGCCCCTGCCGGGCGGGTGGTAGGGTATTTCTGAGGGTTTGCTAATGCACCATCATGGAGGGAGTTGGTGCTTTTGGGCACACAACGTGGCGGGTGGAGTGATCTGCTTTGAATCGCGAGGAGATGGGTGGGTTTGCGGGGTCTGTGGTCACAGACCCCTGCCGCGCGGGTGGCAGGGTGGATCTCAGGGTTGGGTGATATTCAAGGGTGGTAGGGTTTGCCTCTGTAGGGTTTGTTTTAGCTGTTTTTACTTTAGGTCATCCCTGTTGTGCGCAATAGGGATTTTGTCATTTCGTTAAATTTGCAGAGCAATTTTGGAATGGATTGTAACCTTTTCTATGATGTGAGGGACGCCGGACCCGTTTTCCAGCTTTTATAATTCAAAA